ACGCGAGCAGCCCGCTGTGAAACGGGGCCGCTCTGAAGCGGGGCGGCACGGCGGTGCTCAATGGCCCTTTGTAGCTGCCTCTTATCAACTGCTGGTTCCAGCGCCGAAGGAAACCGCGCGGCGAAGCCCAGAAGTAAAAATATTGCAATTCATTAGGGAATTCCCTGCAGCATGAGTCACAGAAGCGGCTTCCCCACCACACCCTGCTAAAAGATTTCCACATAAAAAGGCACTGTAGAGGCCTGTTCTAGTGCAGGAGCCGCACTCAAAAGGGGCTACGCAAATCGAACAGCACCAGTTATTCACACATAGAGCCGAGCAGACCACAAAATATGTTTTGTTTTGTTTTCATAGAAGTGTAACACGGTCGGAGAGCTGTAAAGACTTTTCCAAAGAAATTTTCTACCGTCTTCCGCATCTGCTCGTTGCCCATGAAGAGGGATCGCCCAAGGTCTGCAGAACTACGTCGAGCCCCGGGGAGCCGTAAGCACGGTGCCGCCAGGGCTCCGGGAGCTCAAACAGCCCAACCACCACTGTAGCTTTCAGGGTAGATTGACGGATGACTGCTAGCGAAAAGAATAAAAGTTACAAAATAAAAGGGGGGGAAAAAAAGAAACTGGAAACTAGGGAGAGCGCAACACAAGCATCTGGCAATCACTTGAACTTTGCCTCTGTGAAATGGGCTTAATGGGAGAGTTTAGATATATTTAAGTGATCTCGCTTTACTACAGGAGGTTAAAACAGTCTATATTCTTTTAGTAGTCCTGTGCTCACTTGAGATACAAAAAGAATGGATATTATCTAGGATTTTCCTGCCTATACGCCGTGTTCATTTTATACCCTTCTAGCCTGAGGCTCAACAGAGCTTGCCTGCACTGTCTGGACTGTAAATGGGTATTTACACTGTGATATATTCACAGGTCAGACAGCGAAACTAATCCTATCCCCCCCAAAGGAACACATTATTTGATGAATGTGTTGTGAGACTGCTCTAAACATTCAGCCTATACATCCTTGATTACTTTAACATATCTGCAACAGGTAGGACCGAACGCAATGCAGAATGATTATATGGGACAATTTTAGGGTGCTCCACAAAGGCTCCCTATTTGCCTTCCCCTACCTGCCCTGGTAGGTAGTGCATATTCAGAACCTTTAGCAGTGAAGGCTTTGGCAGCTTTCGGCTTGCACAGCAGACCCTCTTCCCCAGCAAATTGCCCTCCTGGCACTGAGATGATTGATCTGTGAATATGTCCGGAAGGATAGTTTTTTTCAGCGAGAGAAGAGAACGAACACTAAGGTCAAGTCCTGCCTCAGTGATCTAAAGACACTCAGTTTTGTGCTGAAACACAGTTTCCCTGTGCGCGTGCTTGGGCTGGGAGCGCAGCGCGCGCGGGGCTGCAGCGTTGCCACATTTCCCTGCAGAGGCGGCAGCCACGAGGAGTTGAGGACAACACAAGGGGAGC